CTTGCTCTTAATCTCCACAAGCATTTAAGCTTGTACAGTAATGGATGACTATTGTTAAGATGGATGCTTGTATCGAAATGTTCTAATAAACGAATGGGTGTATGGTGAATGAAAAAAAGTGTGCTAATTGGTTGCTCAAAGACTTCTCATGTACTTTCTTCGACCTTTCCCAAAAGGTTTGGCAACTGACTGAAAGGTTCTTGAATGCCAGTTTACTATGTGAATGAATAAGATTTCAGTTCGCTATTATCTTTATTCATTGTACACATTACATAGCTTCTACCTCCACCAATTGGTGCTTTCAATATTGCTCCAGAAAGGGTTTTTGTCGACAACTCGGTGGAATTTTACCCTTCTCAAATTGGAATATGAAATCCTATCTCATAATAAAAAATGTCAAGACTCTCAAAAGGTAGCAAGGCACAAACATGGAATACAATATGCCATTCTATTTTCTTCGTGATCCACTCTGGCTTGCTGATTTCCCTTCTTGGATTCTTGTTTCTGGTAAACCAAATGGACCATCAGTTCTTGAAAACTCTTGCATTGTATGCTCTATCTCTTGCCCTGAATAACTTCAACTTTCTTAAATTGACACTTGAATTATCAAATTTGAGCCATTTGATGGATTGTTAAGGCTTGAAATCTGAACTAGAAATCTAGAATGCTACATGCATTGCCACCTACTCTTTCCAGTTTCAACGTTGAAGTTGTGGCTTTGGCTTTGTGAGTGGTCAGTGTTTTTAAAAAAATTAAATTTTTATATTTTTTAATTTTAAATTAATATATTTTTAATATTTTTAGATTATTTTGATGGATTGATGTTAAAATGAATTTTTAAAAAATAAAAAATATTATTTTAATATATTTTTAAATAAAAAATACTTTAAAAAATAATTACTATTGTACTTTTAATTATCCTCAAAAGCTAAAAAGAACTTCCAATCACCCTCGAAAGCTAAAAAGAGAAATAGGTTAGAAAAGTTTAAAGGTGTAAGATATTTTATATTTCTTATGGCTTTATACATTCTCAATACACCTTCTATTCATAGCCTTAAAAGTGCAACACTAATAAAAATAATCCTAATCCGCGATATAATCTAAGATAGATGATTATAATCACAATTCAGAACTGTCCTTTATCATGTCAGATTATGTTTCTGACTTGCAATGCTCAGCATCAGTTACCAATAGTCCCCACAGGAGCAAACCCCATCACGAAAATGGTGAAAACGATGAGTATCTCTAATGATGATCTCTCGTTCAACGATCTTGGATATAAGCTTCGTAGCAACATGGCAATCCCCACAAACACGAATATTCTTGGTAATTCTGATTGTGCTTCCAGGGTTTGTATTCAGAATGGCAAACACAATTGCCAGCTTCTCACTATGAACTGCTAGATGGCATTCTTTGTCCTCCTCTTCCACATCGTGAAGAGCAGAATCAGTTTCAGGCATGTAACCTAATTCTTTCATTCTTCCAACTAATACATCTAACGCCTTGTAGATCTCCTTTGATTGAGTATGAGACTGGTCACCAGCAAGAAAGGTGTAAACATGATCGTTGATCTCAACATTGCTATTGCCTGGAATTTTTTTGACTCCCTTGCTGTTCATGATTGACCTAACCGTTTCCACATCTTGCCATCTTCCAGCCTTTGCATAAATGTTGGATAACAACACATAATACCCTGACTGTTCAGGAGCTAACTGGAACAGGTGGTCAGCAGCCAAAAGTGCAATATTCATGTTAGAGTAAACCCGACAAGCACTCAACAGAGACCCCCAAACTCTTTCGTTAGGCTCCATTGGCATCTGTCTGGTCAAATGATAGGCCTCATCTATTTTCCCAGCACGTCCCAATAGATCTACCATGCAATTATAGTGTTCTATCCCTGGAGTTATCCCATACTCAGCCATTAGATTAAAGCAATACCTCCCCTCGTCAACCAATCCTGCATGACTGCAGGCTGCTAGAACAGAAACAAAAGCAATCCAATCTGGAGTAAAACCTGAGTCCCTCATCTTTTTAAAGAGAGCAACAGCATCCTTACCTTGTCCACTCATGCCGTAAGCAGAGATCATAGAAGTCCATGACACAACATCCCGAAACATCATTTGATCAAATACTGCCCTTGCTTCCTTTAAGCATCCACATTTTGCATACATATCAATCAATGCATTCTCCAATAATAAATTTGGCCGAAGCTTCTTCCTTTCAACATATTCATGGATTCGGCTTCCTAACACCGCAGCTGAAAGGTCCCCACAAGCAGGAAGCACACTAGAAATAGAGACAGCATCGGGTTCAACCCCATGCACTTGCATCTGCAAATATAAGTCCACTGCTTCATTAGGCATACCATTATTCACATACACTGCTATCATCACGTTCCAAGAAATCAAACTCTTTTCTTTCAGCTTCACAAACATGTCCTTAACATACAAAACATTATCACAAGATGTGTTCGTCACAGCTGGCAAGAGACTTCCCAATGTGCCAGCATCAGGTTTTAGCTTCAAATCCTCCATTTCCCTACAAAGTTTCAATGCATCATTAAACCTCCCATTTTGTGCATACCCAGCAACCATCGAATTCCAAGAAATCATATCCCTCCCTGGCATCTCATCCAGAACTCGCCTTGCCGCATCCGAACACTTACATTTCCCATACATGGAAACTAACCCATTCCCAATATAAAGATTCATATCAAGCCCAAGTTTCACAACAGCACCATGAATTTGCAAGCCAACCCACAAATTCCCAGACACCGAACACGCCTTTAACACACAAGGATAAGTATAATTATCAGGATAAAACCCCTGATTAGCCATGGTTTTGAAAACAAGTAAAGCATCTTGGTATAAACCATTGTTAACATAGCTTCTAATCATGACATTAAAGAACACAACATTTTTGTCAGTAATTTCATCAAATATGTGGCGTGTGTAACATGGTTCACCACAAGCGGCATAAGCCCTCATTAATTTGATGCCAAGTGAAGGGTTTGGGTGAAGGTTTAGGTCAATGAAAATCTTGGAATGGAGCTTTTTAAGTGTTTTGGCATCTGGGTTTTCGTCCAAAATTTTATTACACAAGTCTTCTGTTAGGGCTGTGAATTTTGGGGAAAGTTGTGGGTTTTGGGTTGTTAAAGAAAAGGGTTTTGTCTGTTTAGCAGTTGAAAATTGGCGGGAAAAAGAAGAAAATGTTTTCATGAATTAATCTGTGCCTGTGATTTTGATTGTCGTATCACTTCAACTGTGAAACAGAGTTATATATAGTTTGATAAAGATTACAGACCCACTTGATAAAACTACAAATTATACATTTAATAACATTTAATTAGTTATCTGTAAAGATTTATTCTTGGTTTCTTCTTCTATGTGTTACATAAAGGTTACATGGTGTTTTATGTTTTTAGTCCCTTTTGTTTATATAATAAATCATGTAAAACATAAAAAATAATGTGTAGACAACTACCAAGGGAGCTTCTATTCTTTTCTTTGGCACTGTCTTGCAGGACGAAATGTAACTCCACATTGAATCCTAGAGCCAATTCTTTCAAAGAGACTATGATGCTATATATCCCATGCGCAACCTCGATTTTGAGATTTAACATGTTCACTGAGGATTTCGATACAATGTCGCGTCCTGAATTGGAATCTTGTGCCAGCAAGAAATGTTGCTTCTCCTCAAAGATGGAGTAGCAGTCCTCGTTTCATCAACTTCATGATTTCCCGAACTCCATTCCTACCTTCATGTTTCTGGTTACCAAATGGGCCATCAGTTTCTGGAGGGCTCTTTCTTATATGCAACCCAATGGATTGTTAGGCTTGACAGTTGAACTGGATACAATTCTAGAATGATGAATGCATCCCTTCTAAATCTTTCCAGTTTCAAAGCCTTTAGTCATGGCTTTCTAATAATTAGCCTATATATCTTGTGACTTAACACAACATGATGAGCAAGGCAACGTATCACAACAGAGTAGTCACTCAGAATCAGTCACCATTAATAGCCTGCACAGCAGCGAGTTCCACCATGAAATTGGCGAAAACAACGATCATCTCTAACAATGAGAAGCATGATTTCTTTGGAAACAAACAAGATTGCAAAGATTACTTCTGTTCATACTAAGGTTAAATAGTGGTCTGATGCAGTGACGATAAAAGAATAGGTAAAGCTGCACCTTCTAGGCTGAGATACATGCACTTTCTAGCTAATCTTCCTTAAATTACTATCATGACAATTCTCTGGATTCTAAAATTAGATATTGCTACATGTAAAATTACAATGTTGACAAGTTACTCAAACAATTCTTCTTCTTCTGTTATTTTGTGACAAGAAATCAAGCACACACCATTTGGATGTAGGTCAGATACATTTCGATATAACCGTCTTCCACAGTAATTATTAGCATCTCATGCTCTTTAGCCAATTGCCTGATAAGATCTGTACCAGAGACAATTACCCCATTTCACGTTTCTGACCTCCGGTGCGGTTACTTTGTTGTTCGGGGAGAGAATTGTTCCAATTCCATTGCCCTTGGGAACCTGAAGCAGCTGGTTCTGTGTCATCTATGGCTGCCGCTGTAGCAACAATGCGCATCAGCTCAGCTTCATCAGATGGAGCCTTGTATGTGATATCAAATGCTCTACAATAGGCGAGTCTATCTGCTCCAACCAAACCAGCTCTATCCATGGCAAAAAGGGTTGGTAACTACTCTTGAAGATCAACAGATGTGAATTGAAGAAGTATTGCAGGAGAAGTGCATGGCGTACTACCCTTGTATTTTTTTTAGAATCAATGCACTAATCATATTTAAAAAATACAGCATGAGTTCTCGTCGAACAAGTGTTTACATGACTTCTTGTGTCCGCTTCAAACAGTGAGGTTATCCCATCACTTGTGTAAGAACATAAACTTAAAAAAAAAAAACTCAATTACCTCATATATAGAGACCCAAACAAGCCAGAGAGACGTCAGCATACATAATATGTTTTCGATAAACTCAGCACATCATGGAAATGCTGCCCAGTATTGCTGTTACTTATTGTAGCGCTCGACCTTTCATTGTGAAAGCTTCTCAACATGCAAGAAGAGAAAAGGGAGTTGGGGGAGGAGGCCAGCTCCCCTCTACAAAGAAAGTTTTAGGTCCAAGCCAGTGCCTTCTTCTCCCTCGTCCTTTTTCTCTTCTTCCTTTCTCTTGGAAGGACCGGCTGCTGCCTGACCATCCTTGCCATCCTCCAAGAAGTCTTCTGGCAGAAATGATGGATTCCAAGCCACACTAACCTTCTCTTCTCCAACTTTCCTGATCTCCTCTTTCTCTTTAAATATTCTATTTGAGTTTCTTCTTATCTGATCATGCATTTGTTTTGTACTTCTCAGCAAAGCAAAGAACTTCTCCATCTTCTCTTCTTCTTCTTCTTCTTCTTCATCATCATCATCTTCCTTTCCCTTTTCTTCTTCTTCAACATACTCCGTCTTCCTCTTCTTTGCTTCCCTCTCCATGCCAAGCTAGCAAGCTATTTCCTCCTACAAATAAAAAAATATCAAAGAGAGAAGCATAAGCAGTAGACCATAGAGTATCTCTTATTGTAGTATGGGTTATTGTAGTTTGATGGGTTAAACCAAACCACATACTAGACTCGCACTATGACCACTCTAGAAACCGTGTTAGTTGACTCTTTGTACAGAGTCACCATAATGTAGTGCAGGTATCACAAGAATTCTTTTACAGAAACGGGCTTGGCTTTTCATTTTTGATTTGAATATTGTGAAAGCATCCCTCCATATATAAATAATTGTTTAAGACTTGATTGGTGCAGACTTTAGTTTCAATGTACAAAAGCTGATTTAAAAATTAGCCCACCAATAAGCGTAATGAAATTTTGATTTGATTTCTTGCAAAAACAGATAAAAACCGTAGTGAGTCCTCGATTCTCTTCAGGAATGATTGGCTGTAGATGGAGTGGATACTATGGATGGAAAAGAATAATGGCTAATAAGGTCACTGGCTGCTGCCCGTGATGCTGTGTAGCATACCGAATAAAGGTGATGCAAGCACCATGACATATTGTCATTTTGGAGTCTTCCTAGAGGGCCAGCCTGACATTTTTGTGAGAATATATGCATTGGTGGTTCCTTTTGGTATACTTTTATGGCCTGTATTTAATTGACACCTTACAAAACTAATTTCTCTGCCGTCTGGTTTCCTTCATTACTTGTTCTATGTTCATAGCAGACTCTATCACTCTAGCAATTAATCAATTGTATTTTGTCATCGTGATGTCATATTGATGATCTCATACTAGTTTAAGGTACAATTTATGGTTGTCATCCTCCAAGTGGAGCTTCACAATGACATGTAATTTGTAGCAAATTGAAAAGTTGGGCTCGAGGTTCTTTCATATTTCAACGAAGCAAAGCTGAAAGTCTGTTCGGCCTGCTGTACAAGCTGCTTAACAACCACAGAGTTGGGGGGTAAAAGCAACAACTTCCCTTGTAAGCAGCTTCCACCTGCTTTTGTAAGATGAAGACATTATACTGGATGGAGATTGTCTGACATGAATAGATTCAAAATATGGCAGTTGGACCACTATGACTGAGCTTTTTATTCACATGGGCAATGGATGGTGAACTTTGGATTTAAGTAGTAATTACCTACCTAACTAGCCAGAGCTGTAATAAATATTTAGCCAAGTTTAAACTAGAGTAAGTGAACTAGGTCTTCAGTGGAGTCAACCAAACTTAATGCACAAATAAGATACTTTCGATATCAGGTGGGACCACAATTCACATTATTCTTGCTGAAATTTTAAACATCAAGTTCCATCAATAGATAAGCTGTGTTCACAGAAATATCTTTATTAAGGGCCACAAGCTGGCAAATCCAGAGCCCCATGATCACTGGCATTCAACTTTATTGACAGGAAAGTAGATTCTGCTACTGATGCACAACAGCATGGTATCCAGGGTTAATGTGTAAAACACAACTCAAGTTCTGACAGTTGAGCATGTCATGATATTGTATGATACAGAAGCGTGTGATTGAAGTTCATTGTTTGTCAACAACATAGAACTGAATCTTACTTTGGAAATTGTAAGGAAAAAGAAATTGATGGGGATCTCCAAAGCTTTTCTCCGTGATTGTATGGTGATTTGAAGCTCCCATAAGAAGCTTCAATCACCCTCAGCAGGCCATTATTTTGCTAGTTAAGGCAGCTGGACTCTGGTAACAGAATCAAACAGGGAACATGTTAGCTGAACATTTCAGTAAATCAGAATAATTTTACACGCTAAACATATATACAGTTATTTATTTCTTGTGGTCCTGGAGACGGAATGACTATTTCATAATGCCTATCATGCATGTGGTTGTTCTCAAACATCAGATTCGAAGCCTTCAACAAGCTTCAGTTGTCCACCAACCCACCGAACCTGATATTTTTCATAAAGATAATATGGTACAATTGGACCTCTACCTCCCAGTTCATAGAGTTCTGGCGTCGTACGTTTCTTGTCTATCTCCTGTGGAGTTGGAGTTAGAATATTCCATGCAGCAGCAAGCTCAACGCTCCCATCAATGAAATCAAGAAGATGCTCATATGACTCAGGAACCTCCGCATTATACCTAAGGAATTAAAATAAAGAAAAAGCCAGACGTCAAATTATAGAACAAGGTGGGTGCTGAATTGGCTTCACTTGGAAATGTGAATTTAGACAGAACATGTCTTGTAACGTGAAAGTGCTTGCTTGTCCTTGTACAGCAAATTGAGTTCAGAAGCATCCAACTGCAAGCCAAGTCCTGGAATCTTATTATTAATCTTTACCAGAATAGCTTCATTAGGTGCATCACTCAGGATCATCTCATTAGTAGCCAGATCAATATGTACTTTGACACGTTTACAATAAAGGTTCTCGGGGACATAATGGAAATGTACACGTATCTCCACTCTGCCTCATGTAGTTCATCATGGTCAGAAAATTCAATATAGTGTAAGCAAATGGTACACCATTTCCTCCCCCTAGTAACTATCACATAGATAGAAGAACTAACACAATGCATGTGTCTATGTGCATATAAATACCCCGCACAATTCCCTTGTTCTCTAGTTTCATTCAGCACAGAATTCAAGAGCTGAGTTTGGATTCTTGAATCTTCATATTCAAATTTGAAAACAATGATGAGCCATGGAGAAATCAGGCAATCTCATAATCGAAGTATCTTGGGTTTTTTTAGTGCCAAATTTTGATCTTCTACATAAATTATCATAGAAGTTCCACAGAACATGTGTGCAAGACGAAGTCTTCTGATAAAATGATCTGAAATATCATGCAATGTTTCAGTGACTGAGCGGTATATTGCAGGTGGTGTATTTAAGGTTTGCCACATCATAGAATGCAGCACAGATTAATAAAATACATAAACTCACCTGCATACTGTGTACATTAAGTTCAGCTTCATAATGGCTCCAAGACCAGACTAGAGAACCTCACCACTGTGAGGTTATCAATGAGGTTCCTTCTTAACAGATGATCTATCCTGATGTGCACAAAATTTAAGTCATATTCCAATCAACTGAAGTGAATAGCTACAAAAGAAAATGTGCTTACTGAACAAATATTGCGCACACACGGAACAGATATAGCTAACGTCAACTGACACTTGTATAATTATTTCTCATCACACTTAGAGAGAAGACCTTGTGAATTGGTGAGAAGACAGTGCATCAAACCCAAAAGGTTTCACAAATATTATTCGATTCCAGCTCTTCAGTGTTAGGGTATTATCAGCTAGACAGGATGCAACATCACGGAGTGCTTCTTGTGACACAGAAAGGTAGTGTTCCTGTTTGCTTTAGATCCCACCTGCATTGGTGTGCTATTACAGAATCAGTTATCAATTAATCCAGCTACTCTATTTTACAGTCAACAAAAACCCCACCTAGTCAGAAAGCAATTTTAATATTTAAGCATGTGCCAGTAAAAGTATACCTCAATCTGCTCCATTCTGGCCTTTAGCTTTGAAATCCTCTCTCAGTTATCATAACGTCCTTTAAGACTGTAAATTCTGCTATGGAAAGCCTCCATTTGTCCCCACAGTTCTGCCTGAAACATTTCCAAAAATTGATGATTATTGCAAAGTTGAGAACCTGTGATACAGGAATAACCATAAGACATTAGCATACATTCAATAATTTATATTCTTACTTTTAGCATTTACTTCATTTTACAGAATTTTTTTAATGAGCATTGTTGTGGGTAGTATTAACAACGCAATTGACAGGCCCAGGAATAAATATCAGATATTCTCCGTACGCAATGCCCTTGTTAACTAAAGCTGTGAGATTTTATTGATAAGCGACCCGCTATATTTGTTTTAGTCATTTCACAGGGAGGTTCAGAAAGATTGAGTTTTCTTTGGCATGATTGTGGATCAATGTTAATTGGAAGCATCTTCTTGTGCCAGCCATATATAGAAATGCTTGCTCATTTTGACCATTCTACCACATAATTCAATAAAATTATTGATTGAAAACTCGTAAGGTGATAAGAGAACCATACTGGTGACCAATGCGACAAGTCAAAGTTGAAGCTGTTATGGATCTGAGATCTTCAGCCATCAAATTCTTTCTTGAATAACCAAAGATACCAGCATCCTGCATCCATAAAACTACTCAAACTAAGAGTAAATACAAAAGTAAACCAGTGTAAAGGGATATGAACACAACATACTGGAGACTAGCTAATTTCGCTAATTCATGTATTTCCACTTTCCCTTTATGATTGAAGTATATCCACATACCGAGCTTACCAGATACATGTACAAAAAAAGGGAATGTACACAAAGAAACGTTGAGTATTGACATCAGAGTAAACCTCACCTCAGATAGAAATCCATTATAATACAGAGCAAATAATGCTTGAAAAATTTCCCCCTTTGCTAGCTCACCAGTTGCTAATGACTGCAATGCAGAGAGAAGGTCCTCTACCACCCTCAGTCGGATAATTCAAGGAATGACTTGGCAAAGGCACTACATTTGCGAAGGAATCAGGTTGGAGCTCATGCAAGAACTTTCTTCAGGTTCCGAAGTTCTTTTTGTCTCTTGATCAGAATCGACACTCAGAAAACACATTTTGACAACAAATTCAACTCAAATGGACACACACAGGTGCGCACCCTTTTGGTAGTAATCATCACAACAAAACACAGACTTTCAATATAATAAATCATTAACCATGAAGCAACACTCAATACACAAACTGTCACGCACACAATCTTCAGTGGAATCTACAGTCGAAAAACAAACCTTTACTACAAATTCAACTAAAATCCATACACAAATACATGTTAGTAACAATGAATCTTCATCACAACAAAAACTTACTTCCATTTTCCTCTTTTCGATTAATTACACACAGACTATCACTATAATGAATCACTAACACTCGAAGCACGATCTTTCACCACAAACTCCTCTGAAATTAACCCACACGTTTACACTTGTAAGTAATAAAAATCACTATTAACAATGAACTATTACTAACCATTGGGAAAATTTTGATTTTTTGGAGTCATGAACTCCTTCAAAGGTCCAGACTTCCTATTCATTTGCCAAATATTGAATCTCTGTGTCGTCCATAGCTTTAACCCACAAAACCTTCTACATAAACCACCTCCTCCAAAATTCCTTGTCACAAGCTAACATAAACCGCCAGAAATCAACAAACTTAGTAATATATTCAAAAGGGCACTTATAGAATCACAAAAGGTTCAGTACTTTATAGTGCAAAATCTCATTGACCTGCAAGCTAGAAGGAGGGTCTTTGGGAGAACTCGAACATGGAGAAATGGGTCTAGAAGTTGAAGAATCCCAAGAGGGTATTGATAGAGTTGGGAATAAAAGTGACATCCTTTCTGGATTTTATTGAGGTTTAGACAGTAAAGGTTCGGTTCTTTTACCCATGGTGGAAGAAGAGGGAGGGAGATAGTTGAGGATGAATGTAACTTGCGTTTGGCGAGAATGGTTGTAGTGGATTAAATGAGGACACCAGATGACTGTAAATTGGACTTTCCCAGAGGAAGTGCGGAACTAGTGACTACAATGGGCTGTTGGTGAGAGGCTTTCTTTTGTTTTCTTTTGAAATAATTTTCCTACAGAGGAAGTTATTTATAATCAAGTCTTGGATTAATTATTTGTATCTAATTAGTTTATAAAAAAGTAAAATATTTTTTAATATATGTATAAAAATCGCGTAGTTATTTCATTGTATACCATTTTATTATTTACTTTCTTATGTTTCATTATAGATAATAATACTGAGATTTTGAAAAAAATTCAAATTAGTCCTAGAAGGGTAATGGAATGGACACTCGTACCATTAAAAAAAAGCGTGGGTAATGTTTCACGGTAGTCAAATTTAATTATATATTATCTTATTAGATGCGTAATTGTATTGTTTTACATGGTATGATATAATTGCTGTTGATGATTTGTTATTTATATTATTTTTTGTTTTTACAACAAAAGTATATAATTGTTATTTTTATTTATTGTTTGTTAAATAAAATATATTTATCATACCCAAATTGCTTAGAATTTTATTGTTTATTTGTTTAATAATGGTGCAAATAACATGCCATTTATCTCAATAATTTTTTTTAAAAAAAAAATACGTCAAATGATGTATATTCAGATTTCAGTCATTATAATTAAGTTTAACATTGATATCAAATATAAGTTTTTTGGATCTCACAACCACAAAGAATTTAAGTATTTTAGGTTTGACAATAATATCAAATTCAAGTATTGATGGGTGAGAAAAGAAAGAAAATAATTGGAATCTAGTTTAGAAAAAAAAATAGCATTTCTTAATTTCAATCCAAGGTACTTAGGTCTAATAACAATTCTATATCCAAGCAATTTAAATCTAGAATCATAATAATTCCAGGTAATTTGAATTTAACAATCATGCTATATTCAAATTGTTTAATTTAATAACCAATATATATATATAAAAAAAAAGTAATGAAGAATAAGCATGTATCGCGTGTGTATACTCACACATACTTTTAATGAGGTAGCCATAAATAACATCATCCAAAAGATATAAATAGAAATAATTTATGTTTTTTTAAAATGAAAATATACTAGGAATATAGATTTTCAAAAAACAAAAAACTACATAATAAAAACAAAAAATAGAAAAAATAACACACTATTTTTTTATTATATGAGTGTTAATATTTTAGTTTTTAGTTATAATTTAATATATATCTTTCGTATGTTTTCATGTTCACCAATACTAAATTTTATATTATCTTGGATATTTTATGTATTTTATATATTTTTTATTTTTTAAAATATCCAAAAAAACACTCAAGAATATATACCATAGATATAAATAATAATTTTTTAAAAAAATGTCTCGAAATATTTCAAAATCCTTTCTTTGTCCTTATTTTCAAATCTCAAGTATTTCTATATAAATATTTTTAAAAATATATTAAAATATTTTTTTCAACATCAGCACGTTGCAAATTAAGATTATCATAAAATACTAAAATAAATCAATTTAATATTTTTTTATACGAAATATATTTTTAAAATGCACTCACACACAAAAGTAAAGTAGATACACAATATTAAATAGCCAGTCTCCATCATTTAACTTAAAATACCAATACATATATAGACACACCAAAATCTTATGAGAATATTGCCAGCAGATGAGAGCCGATAATGAGGTGTGTCTAAACAATGGGCATGGTGAATGGTGTTCAGCCATGGGAATCAATGGATGAATTCATGATGATGAATTTTAATTATATATATATATATATATATATATATATATATATATATATAGAGGGAGAGAG